CTTCCAATATTTTTTGAAGCAGTGGAATCCCCTGGTGATATCTGAGGGGTGTGGTTACCTCTTGGAGGAGGTTGATGGTGTCCAGAGATTATCATTTTTTACTGAAATATTGCGAATGTCACTGACCTTTCCATTATTATTCCAGGCGATCAGTTTTCCACCTAATTATTTGTAGCCTGGGCATGACTTTCTTGGTGTTCTATGGATGCTTATCACTATTGTGTTTCTGGGAGTTTCTACAGTTGGCCTTTCCCTCCGAAAAATGAGCTTGTGTGAGAGTACACTAACTTCCTGTAGAGGTTAACTTGTAATCACACATAAGAAGACATTATTTCAAACAATCCATGGTTCTGGACTTTATTATGAATATCGGGTTTTACCAAAAACATCAGGGAAATGATTTATTAGCATAAGAATTATAAAAATATCTGCCATTTACATTATGAAAATTAAATAGGTTGATGTTTGTTTAATAGAATGTCAACAGAGCTGTAGGTCAAAAATAAGTTGTTGTTGTTTTTTTAACCTATGTGAAGTTTTGGCACTTAAATAGGAAATTCTGTCTAAACTTTTCTGCTTTATAACTCTATTGTATGGCTGGAAGGAAAGCTTTTACTTTCCTCTGTAAAGGTTCACTGCGGAAATGAACTAACAACAGACAGCTTAACAGGAGAAGAAAAACATAGAACAGGCATAAACATGGGAGCCAGCTGAAAAATGAGACTGCAAGAAGGGTCAGATGGTTGATGATTAAAGAATGCTGTCTTTTCAGGAGAGAGGGGGATAGATGGAGATGGAGGCAACTTAGAGGGGCAGTAAGTGATTTTTAGTGGGAATGAAAGAGCCCAAGGAACAAACAGTTGGCCTGAGACAAAGTTCCTCTGAGATCATAGGGAAGAGGAGACAAACTGCAGAAAGGTGAAGGGCAGAGCCGCACTGCCTCTCAGGATGCAGAGAGAGCCCCGGAGAATCTGTTGGAACTTCCCTTCAGAGAATCAATGAAGACTGTGTATTATAACTACTGATACATTTATAACATCACAGAGCAAAATAAAAATACAGGGCCTAGTATGTTATGGGTAACCACTAATCTTGTCTTTTTTGAGATAGAGCTTTCAGGTTAACAGAGGTAAATTTGATCTATTCAATGGAAAGCAGAAAAGGAGAAAAAAAAAGGAAAAAACATATAGTAAATGGAAAGAATGGTATATGATAGCAGAGACTAATTCCAATAGAACAAATTATAATAAACATGTGTATTGAACTCACCAACTAAAAGAGAGAATCTTAAATTGGAGAAAAATATCCAGCAATATTGTGTCCACAGAAGACAAAGACAGAAGGTGCAAAACACTTGGAAATGAAAGGGCTGAAAATTATGTACTGGGAAAGTATGAATAAAAGTTGGGATAGCAATTTTAATATGATGTAAAATATAAATAAAGGCAAAACTTATAAGAGACTAGGAGAAATACTTTATAAAATAAAAGAAAAATGAATATGATAAAATAAAAATATATACACATAAAAATATGAACTTAAAACAGCTAAAATAAGAATGGTAAAATTACAAAAATAAGTTAATATACTATGATAATCAGAAAGCTAAACATTATATACATAGAATTAAAATGAAAGATTTCTCTTTCTCTGATGCTGATAGACCAAATAGATAGAAATATACCAATTTATAAAAATATTTGTTTTATATAATCTATAATCTTGAATACATCTGGGGAAGAGGTGAAGAGAATGAGCTTTAAAATGAATAGAAAGAGCAATTCAAACAGATGAAATATTCACAGAATGTTCACATATACTGGGTCAGCAAGGAAACCTCAGAAATGGAAGTCAAGCTGTTATTTAATCTTAACGTATAGTCTGAAACCTGTACTAAAATAACTAAAAATGTATATTTGAAAACAGTTACAAACTTCCAAACAGTTTTTGGATTGAAGAAGATACTTTTACAAGAATTAAAAGTATTTTGACCTGAACAGCAATAAACACTATTTCTGTTCAAATTTGTGGGATACAGCTAAAATAGTACTTTGAGTTAAATTCATAACTTTATTTATTAGAAAATAATGAGCATTGACATTGGGCGCATCCTGTTGGTAAGTAAATAAAATAATAATAATAAGTATTGAAAACAAGTCAGATAAGCCCCCCTAAAATGAAGTTGGAAATCAAATAGGGAATAACAATTTTAAAAAAGATTAACAAAACCAAAAGCTGGCTTTGAAAAGACTAACAAGACAGATAAAATCCATAAATATAAAAGAGTAAGATCCAAACAGGACACAGAGTGAGGAAGGAGCTGTGGCTACAGTCACAGGAAACCATTAAAGTAATAGGAGAATATGATGAACCATCTGCCAGTAATTGTGAAAACAGACAAAATCAATACATTTCTGGAAAAACAAAAAATGTCAAAATATTTTAACAAATCAATAAGTATTAATAAAGAATGCCCCCCACTCCACTCCACTAGAGCCTCAAACTCAGTTTTATAAGAAAGTATTGTACTAAAAAATGTCAAGGAACAGATGAGTTTATTTTTATTTTTGTTTCTTTTTTTGAGATGGGGTCTCACTCTGTCACCCAGGCTGAAGGGCCCTGGCATGATCTCAGGTCATGCAACCTCCACCTCCTCTGCTCAAGCGATTCTCCTGCCTCTGCCTCCTGAGTAGCTGGGATTACAGGTGTGTGCCACCGCACCTGGCTATGTTTTTGTATTTTTGTAGAGACATGTAGGAGTTTCACCATGTTGGCCAGGCTGATCTCAAACTCCTGACCTCAAGCGATCCCCCCACCTTGGCCTCCTAAAGTGCTTGGATTACAGGCATAAACCGCCGCACCCAGCCTGAAACAAATAACCTTTATTTTAAAAAGTTGTTGTAGAAAATATTAAAAAGAGAATGACTTTTCTTCACTTTACACGAACAGTATAACCATGATTCAGCATATTACAGTCCTATTTGGTTTATGGGTTTTAATGCAAAAATCTTAAATGAAATAACAACTTACCAAATCCCACGGTTTATGAAAAATAATATAATATGATCAAGTTAAACAAGGCAAGGATGATATGATATCAACAATTTTATTAACTTTGTAACTCACCTTTATAATGGAGTGAAGACAACAGGAATGTGACTCTCAATAGACGTAGAAAAAAATCACAATAGATGTCAAAACATTTCTAGTAAAAATTATAAAATAGCCTTTAATAAGGTTACAAGAAACACCAGCCAATAGAGAAAATGTCTAAGCATTCTCTGTAATACTGGAAACAGCATGAGAATACTCACTATCATGACTATGGACTGTTTAATACATACAGGGGGCCTAACCAATGGGTAAACACAAAAAGTAAGTGAGCATAGATATTGAAAGGAAAGAGAATACAATATTATTTACAGCTGGCAAAAATCATTTACACAGAAAGCACAATAGAATCAACAGGGAAACTAGTAGATCTAATGAGAGGGTCAACATTTCATTACCACCCTAGCCTGTTAGAAAAGTAATAAAACATAAGACAGCATTTACAGCAACTAAAAATAATTAGGAATTGATCTAACAGAATATACAAGGCTTCAGTTGTGAAAATCTACGACTCTATGAAAGGGAAAAAAGATGACCCAAGAAGATGGGTGTGGCATGTTCACGCACGGGAACAACCACAGGAACTCCAGTCCTCTCCTATCTATAAATTTGTTGCAAGTTCATTCAAAATTCCAAAATGAGGTTTTGAGCAATTTCATGCATTTATTATAAAAAGTATATGGAGGAATCGACGTCCATGAATACCTAAGTCGATTTTGAAAAGTAAAAGAGGACATTTGTCCTGCCTACCAGACACATGGAGGAGTAGGAGCCTACATGTGAGTTGGAGTAGGAGCCGTGACTTGCTGTGACCCTAAAGCTCACAATGGTCCATACTCTGGGGCTCCAGACACAATGTCTGTTCATGTTACCTGTAAGTCTAGAGCTCCTCTCTTTAAAAACTCTGACGCTAAGTCCAGTGGGGTGAAATGAATTACTACAATTTGATGCTAGGCAAGAGAAAGGGCATAGAATTTGGTACATTTCAAACTAACCAGGTCCCAATTCACATTTTGAACAAGCAGAAAAATTCAGCAAATCAATTTCAATAAACCTTAGAAACTAATTCAACAAACCCCCCTCAGCAATGTGCTTCCAGTCAATTTCTCTAGACCGGGCACAGCTCTGAGCAGCACAAATTTCTACACACTGTAGAGGATACAAGGGAGACCCAACCACGCTTTCATGGGACTTAGAACCTAGTGGGGAACAGAAATCACACATAGAATATCTTAGAAATCTCTATCTATATCACTGTACAGAACCATATTCATGCTGTGGAAATGGTTGATGCATAAGTAGAACTGAGCAACATCAGGGAGAAAGTGTGGCCAGGGCAATGCTCACCAGCTAGTTTAAGATTAGAAAGAAGAACCAGGAGGGGAGTAGCCCAGGCTGGAGGGAGAAGGGTGCACATTTGGGTCCAGCAGGTACAGAGAACGTGCTGACTGTATGCATCTCCATCACTCCCAATCCCTCACCTTCACCTGACACAAGCAGCCTCAACAGAGAGACAGTGTCTATCATCCCACCCAACCACATAGACAAATAAACTAAGACCTAGAGATGGGAAGAAACCTGTTCAAAGTCACACGGCCACAGGACTGGAGTTCAGGGCTTCAAACTCACAGACAAGTGTGCCCTCCTCTGTATGAAGCTGTCCCTCTGACTGCATGGTCTGAAGGAGGGCATCAGCCATGATGTAGGCTGGTACTTTTAACAAGTCATCAGGAAGAGGGTCAGGCTGTCCCATTCCAAGGAAGAAGAGTGAAAATGGAGAGGGCTTTGAAATTGCTCTGGTGTATGTCTGGGAGGCAGGGATAGGGAGAGTGCCCTCTGATGCTGGTGAGCAGAACATCTTCAGTTACACAGCCAGGAGAGTTGGAATTGTCCACTAGAGTTTGGTGCTTTGGACCTATGCCTGCAGAAGTGGGTCACCAGTGAGAACTGTCACCCATCTCTTCAACTTGCTTTGTCCAGCAGCCTTATCTTCAAGGCAAGACATCCACATAATCGCTGTTACTGTTCTTTGGAGAGAAAAAAAGCAGACCAGTCATAAGACCACATCCAGAAGTCATATCAAACAACCCCACTCAAAAGAAAGAAGACCTCTCCCCAGGCACAGAGCCCACTTGATGCCACCTCAAGGTTATATCTTCAAAGGCTGGGGTACCACAGGGAGCTCTCCTAACAAAATAGGGGATCCCTTTATAAGTCAAGCCTCAGCGCTTCTAGCACAGGTGTCTCCATTCACCAGTGAGAAACCTGTGCCTCCCTTGAAGTAAGAACATCTGAAGCTTGTTCTAAGGAAGCAAAGGGAGGAAGAGGAGGAGGGTGACGGGGAAGATTTCTTCTTCGGTAGCCGAGAATTTTGGAGCTCGCTGTGTCAGCACTGACCTGGCATGGAAAGTTGGTAAGTGAGTGGGACTCATGCCCAGTTCTTGGGGAAGATTTCTGAGGGTTCTTCTTTTGGGATTTGTGATTCTTTTCTCACTGTCAAGACAAATACTACCACCACCCCAACTGGTCCCAGCAACTCATCTGGGTTTGCCTAAGGGCTGCAGCACAGACACATTTCTGGGTTTCCAGCTCTGCCACATTTTACACTTTTTATTCTATACATTTTAGGGGAAAGTAGCTGTGGGACTATATTTCTAGAGCTGGACCTATAGAAAGTGATTTTTGTGTATCCATGAGTACACACTGCCCTTCATAGGGATGGGGTGGGGGACAGAGAAATAATGGTACGGGAGGAGGTTGTATTTTAATCATTAAAACAATATGCTCAGCCTTGCTGGGGAGATGAGAAGCCTGCTATGGCAGCCTAAAGGGTGACTTCACTGCAGACAGTGTAGAAAGGCATGGAGTGATTGCAGGCTCCCCGAGAACTCTCTGTCCTCTGTTCCTCTGCCTAGGGAGGACATCTGATCTCATCCCATCACCTGCCACTGATAACTGCAGTCCCTTTCACTGAGAATATAACCACACATTCCAACATGGGAAAACAGGATTAAGCCCTGAGTGTTTCTGGAAGTCTGAGTTAAATTCAAACAACATTGTGAATGATAGATAATAAATTCTTTCCTGAGAGCAGATTTCAAGGGTGTGGGTAAGCAAGAATGACTGCTCATGATGTAATGTGAGAGGCCTCGGCAGGGATTCTCTGTGCTCATATTTACTGATCATCTCTTTTTCCACCATGGCTTCATACCTTTAAAAATGTATCTGACATAATTTGACACCCGGCACTTTATAAATGAATGCTTAGCAAATACTGAGCAAAATGTAACACTATGAGCATTGGGGAGGAAATGAAGGGCTAAAGTGATTTTCTCATTTGAAAACCTGCCTATTTGCCCATTTATTCTCAAACTTGAATGGCCTGTACAAGTTCACAGAATGAATTTGAAGTCAGCTGTCTGCCCAGGAACCACTCTTGCTAACCTGGCTGCAAATGCAGCAAGCTCTAGGTGTTGGCCTTCGGGGACTAGAAGACACCACTTCTCAACAAAATGGAAATTGCTCTTAGTAGGATGAAGCTTTTTAGAGAATGTTATAGAAAACATTTATCTGTATTGAGTTTTACAAAGGAAGGCATTGGTGGAAATAAAATTAAGAATCCTTTCTGGCCCCTATGTGACAGATTTTACCATAAATGTTTCCAACTCCGATTTTGTTTCTCTCCATCTCAAGCTGGGGCTGGTTCTCTTTACTGGCTTTAAAAGGCCAACCACCAGCCCCTGGTTTGGTTTTTCATATTTGGAGATCAGTTCCTTTAGGTTTGGAAAGACCTGTTTTGGAACACCTTCCGCAGCCTGCAAAAATACAAGAAAGAAAATTAGGCATTATCATGTAATTGTGTGTAAAATGTGACACTTCTCAAAACAGTTGTTTTTCAAGGCTGCCTCTATGAGCTGATGAACTGAAAGTGAGTGGCCAGAGCTCACACCACTTCCAGTTCACAGAAACTCTCATTTCTGTTTTGTTTTTAAAGATTTCTTTATACACACACACACACACATATATATATACATATATATATATATAATTATATTATTGCACTTTAGGTTCTGGGGTACATGTGCAGAACATGCAGGATTGTTGCATAGGTACATACATGGCAACGTGGTTTGCTGCCTCCATCCCCATCACCCACATCTGGCATTTCTCCCTATATCATCCCTCCCCAACTCCCTACCCCCGACTGTCTCTCCCCTAGTCCCCCCCAATAGAACCCAGTATGTGATGCTCCCTTCCTTGTGTCCATGTGTTCTCATTGTTCAACACCCACCTATCAGTGAGAACATGCAGTGTTTGATTTTCTGTTCTTGTGTCAGTTTGCTGAGAATTATGGTTTCCAGATTCATCCATGTCCCTACAAAGGACACAAACTCATCGTTTCTTATGGCTACATAGTATTCCATGGTGTATATGTGCCACATTTTCCCTGTCCAGTCTATCATGATGGGCATTTGGGTTGGTTCCAGGTCTTTGCTATCGTAAACAGCGTTGCAATGAACATACGTGTGCATGTGTCTTTATAATAGAACGATTTATAATCCTTTGGATATATACCCAGTAATGGGATTGCTGGGTCAGATGGAATTTCTATTTCTAGGTCCTTGAGGAATTGCCACACTGTCTTCCACAATGCTTGAACTAATTTACACTCCCACCAACAGTGTAAAAGTGTTCCTATTTCTCCACATCCTCTCCAGCATCTGTTGTCTCCAGATTTTGTAATAATCTCCATTCTAACTGGCATGAGATGGTATCTCAAAGTGGTTTTGATTTGCATTTCTCTAATGACCAGTGATGATGAGCATTTTTTAATATGTTTGTTGTCCTCATGTATGTCTTCTTTTGAAAACTGTCTGTTCATATCCTTCACCCACTTTTGAATGGGTTTGTTTGTTTTTTTCTTTTAAATCTGTATTAGTTCTTTGTAGATTCTGGATATTAGCCCTTTGCAGATGGGTAGATTGCAAAAATTTTTTACCATTCTGTTGATTGCCAGTTCACTCTAATGATTGTTTCTTTTGTTCTACAGAAGCTCTGGAGTTTAATTAGATCCCATTTGTCTATTTTGGCTTCTGTTGCCAATGCTTTTGGTGTTTTAGTCATGAAGTCCTTGCCTATGCCTATGTCCTGAATGGTTTTGCCTAGGTTTTCTTCTAGGGTTTTTCTGGTGTTAGGTCTTATGTTTAAGTCTTTAATCCATCTGTAGTTAATTTTAGTGTAAGGTCAGGAAGGGGTCCAGTTTCTGCTTTCTGCACATGGCTAGTAAGTTTTCCCGACAATATTTATTAAGCAGGGAATCATTTTTCCATTGCTTGTTTTTGTCAGGTTTGTCAAATATCAGGTGGTTGTAGATGTGTGGCATTGCCTCTGAGGCCTCTGTTCTGTTCCATTGGTCTATATTTCTGTTTTGGTAACAGTACCATGTTGTTTTGATTACTGTAGGCTTGTAGTATTGTTTGAAGTCAGGTAGTGTGATGCCTCCAGCTTTGTTCCTTTTGCTTAGAATTGACTTGGCTATGGGAGCTCTCTTGTTTCCATATGAAGTTTAAGGTGGTTTTTTTCAGTTGTGTGAAGAGGGTCATAGGTAGCTTGATGAGGATAGCATTGAATCTATAAATTACTTTGGGCAGTATGCCATTTTCACAATACTGATTCTTCCTAACCATGAGCATGAAACGTTTTTCCATCTGTTTGTGTCCTCTCTTATTTCCTTGAGCAGTGGTTTATAGTTCTCCTTGAAGAGGTCCTTTACATCCTTTGTTAGTTGTATTTCTAGGTATTTTATTCTCTTTGTAGCAATTGTGAATGGCAGTTCATTCTAGATTTGGCTCTCTTTAAGTCTGTCATTGGTGTATAGGAATGCTTGTGATTTCTGCACATTGATTTTGTATCCTGAGATTGCTGAAGTTGCTTATCAGTTTAAGGAGATTTTGGGCTGAAATGATGGGGTCTTCTAAATATACAATCATGTTGTCTGCAAATAGAGACAGTTTGACTTCCTCCTTTCATAATTGAATACGCTTTATTTCTTTTTCTTGTCTGATTGCCCTAGCTAGAACTTCCAATACTGTATTGAATAGGAGTGGTGAAACAGGGCATACTTGTCTAGTGCCAGATTTCAAAGGGAATGCTTCCAGTTTTTGCCCATTCAGTATGATACTGGCTGTGGGTTTGTCATAAATACGTTTTACTATTTTGAGATATGTTCCATCGATACCTAGTTTATTGAGAGTTTTTAGCATAAAGGCTGTTGAATTTTGTTGTAGTCCAGCTCTGCATCTATTGAGATAATCATGTGGCTTTTGTCTTTGGTTCTGTTTATGAGGTGGATTATATTTATAGACTTGCATATGTTGAACCAGCCTTGCATCCCTGGGATGAAGCCTACTTGATCATGATGGATAAGATTTTGATGTGCCGTTGCAATCAGTTTGCCAGTATTTTATTGAAGATTTTTGCATCTGTGTTCATCATGGATATTGGCTTGAAGTTTTCCTATTTTTGTTGAGTTTCTGCTGGGTTTTGGCATCAGGATGATGTTGGTCTCATAAAATGATTTGGAAAGCCTTCCCTTTTTTTGGATTGTTTGGAATAGATTCAGAAGGAATGGTACCAGCTCCTCTTTGTATGTCTGGTAGAATTCAGCTGTGAACCCATCTGGACCTGGGCTTTTTTTTGGTTGGTAGGCTATTAATTGCTGCCTCAACTTTAGCCTTTGTTATTGGTCTATTCAGGGTTTTGACTTCTTCCTGGTTTAGGCTTGGGAGGGTGTAAGTGTCCAGGAATTTATCCATTTCTTCCAGGTTTACTGGTTTATGTGCATAGAGTTGTTTGTAGTAATCTCTGATGGTAGTTTGTATTTCTGTGGAATCTGTGGTGATATCCCCTTTGTCATTTTTTATTGTATCTATTTGATTTTTCTCTCTTTTCTTTTTTATTAATCTGGCTGGTGGCCTGTTTTGTTGATCTTTTCAAAAAACCAGCTCCTGGATTTATCGATTTTTTGAAGGGTTTTTCGTGTCTCTATCTCCTTCATTTCTGCTCTGATCTTAGTTATTTCTTGTCTTCTGCTAGCTTTTGAGTTCTTTTGATCTTGCTCCTCTAGCTATTTCAATTTTGATGATAGGGTGTCGATTTTAGATCTTTCCTTGCTTCTTATGTGGGCATTTATTGCTGTAAATTTCCCTCTAGACACTGCTTTAAATGTGTCCCAGAGATTCTGGTATGTTGCGTCTTCATCTGATTGGTTTCAAAGAACATCTTTATTTCTGCCTTCATTTTATTGTTTATCCAGTCAACATTCAAGAGCCAGTTGTTCAGTTTCCATGAAGTTGTGCAATTCTGAGTTAGTTTCTTAATTCTGAGATCTAATTTGATTGCACTGTGGTCTGAGAGACTGTTATGATTTCCATTCTTTTGCATTTGCTGAGGAGTGATTTACTTCCAATTATGTGGTCAATTTTAGAGTAGGTGTGATGCAGTGCTGAGAGGAATGTATATTCTGTGGATTTGGGGTGGAGAGTTCTGTAAATGTCTATTAGGTTTGCTTGGTCCAGATCTGAGTTCAAGTCCTAGATATCCTTGTAAATTTTCTGTCTCGTTGATCTGTCTAAATAATGACAGTGGAGTGTTAAAGTCTCCCACCATTATTGTGTGGACGTCTAAGTCTCTTTATAGGTCTTTAAAAACTTGCCTTATGTATCTGGGTGCTCCTGTATTGGGTGTGTATATATTTGGGATCATTAGCTTTTCTTGTTGCATTGATCCTTTTATCATTGTGTAATACCCTTCTTTGTCTCTTTTGATCTTTGTTCATTTAACGTCTATTTTATCAGAGACTAGGATTGCAACTCCTGTTTTTTTTTTTCTCTCCATTTACTTGGTAAATCTTCCTCCATCCCTTTATTTTGAGCCTATGTGTATCCTTGCATGTGAGATGGTTTTCTTGGATACAGTACACCAATGGGTTTTGACTTTCTTTCCAATTTGCCAGTCTGTGTCTTTTGATTGGAGCATTTAGCCCATTTAAACTTAAGGTGAATATCGTTATCTGTGAATTTGATCCTGCCATTTTGATGCTAGCTGGTTGTTTTGCCCATTAGTTGATGCAGTTTCTTCATTGTGTCAATGCTCTTTACCATTTAGTACATTTTTTGAGTGGCTGGTACTGGTTGTTCCTTTCTGTGTTTAGTGCTTCTTTCAGGAGCTCTTGTAAGGAGAAACTCTCATTTCTAAGATCAACCTCTGCCTCGAGCCACTCTGAGTAGAGGATTTGCATTCAAGGGATCTCAATGCAGTCCATAGTATTGAGTGAACCCCATCCTTGGCAACTTTATCTGGGACAGTTCTTGCAGATACACTGTGAAGGGTACCCCTCTAAGAGCTTATGTCTGTACCCTACTGGGAGGCTTTGCTATCTTAGAGGATGATCAGAAGTGGACTTCTGATGGGAATACAAAAATGACATTTTAAAAAGATTTTCCAACTGTTATTTTAAGTTCAGGGGTACATGTGCAGGATGTGCAGGTTTGTTATACAGGTAAACAATAGGTAAACATGTGCCATGATGGTTTGCCTCATAGATCATCCCATCACCCAGATATTAAGCCCAGCATTTATTGGCTATTCTTCCTGATTCTCTCTCTCTGCCCACCATCCACCCTCCACCCTCCGATAGGCCCCAGTGTGTGTAGGTATCTGTGTGTCCGTGTGTTCTTATCACTCAGCTCCCACTTATAAGTGAGAACATGCAGTATTTGGTTTTCTCTTCCTGTGTTAGCTAAAGATAGCAGCCTCCAGCTCCATCCATGTCCCTGCAAAGAACATGATGTCATTCTTTCTTATGGCTGCTTGGTATTCCATGGTGTATATGTACCACATTTTCTTTATCCAGTCTATCATTGATGGGCATTTAGGTTGATTGCATGTCTTTAAAATATGCAATTTGTATACTGGATGAATTCAGAAACCCCAAGTGAGGAAAATGAGACCAAAAAAGTCCTAATGTAAATAGAAAGTAGGAATGGCAACACAACTCCGTTAAGTTGTAAATAGTTGTTTTCTGTTTGCTAGCCATACACCAAGTACTGTTTTCTAATATAACCTCTTAAAAATAATTTTAAAATAAAAAGAATTTTCTGGCTGGGCACAGTGGCTCACACCTGTAATCCTAGTACTTTGGGAGGCTGAGGTGCATGGATCACTTGAGGTCAGGAGATTGATACCAGCCTGACCAACGTGGAAAAACCCTGTGTGTACTAAAAATACAAAAAATTAGCTGGGTATGATGGCAGGCACCTGTAATCCCAGCTACTCAGGAGGCTGAGGCAGGAGAACCACTCGAACAAGGATGGAGGTTGCAGAGAGCTGAGATGGTGCCACTGCACTCCAGCCTGGGTGATAGAGTGAGACTCCGTCTCTTTCTGGTTCCATCCTGCATCACTGTTGAGTCTTCTAATTCAACAGAGGTTTTGGTTGGAGTCCAGGTATGTGTATCTGACCGCTGGAGGAGCCACAGTGGAGTAACAGTGAGGTTATTCAAAAGTAGAACCCAAGCCTAGAATCTTTGTATTTCTCTTAGGGGAAAACCAGGTTAACTCTTGATCTGACTCTCATCTCTGCATTGTGCTTTGTTTTAGAATGCTTTCACATAGTCATGGCTCGGGTAGAAGACACGTTCCCAGGTTCTTCTTCCTCAGCGTTTTTGCTGTTGTTGCAGTCCTTTTTTGTTCTTACCTGTATCTTGTAATACCCATGTCTCTCTCTGAAGATTCGGTATGTGTAGACAGTGTTTTTGAACCTGTGGAAAAATGACTATGTGAATCATAACGTTCTATGCAAATCTAAGTAACATCTATCATTATATTTCCTATGTGATACCTTTGTTCATCTTCAATCCTAAAAAGAAACTTTTTTTTTTGAGGCAGCATCTCACTCTGTCACCCAGGCTGGAGTACAGTGGCACAGTGTTGGCTCACCTCAGCCTCTGCCTACTGGGTCCAAGTGGCTCTCCTGCCTTAGCCACCTGAGTAGCTGAGACTACAGGCATGCACCACCATGCTCAGCTAATCTCTGTATTTTTAGTAGAGACAGGGTTTCACCATATTTACCGGGCTGACCTTGAACTTCTGACCTCAACTGATCCACCCGCCTCAGTCTCCAAAGTGCTTGGATTACAGGCATGAGCCACTGCATGTGGCCAAAAGAAACTGTCTTAATTCACTTTTTGCCACTATAATAGGGTACCACAGACTGGGCAAATTATAAATAATAGAAGTTTATTTGGCTCACAGTTCTGGAGGCTGGAAAATTCAAGATGGAAGAGCTGCATCCGGTGAGGGTGTTCTTGCTGTGTTGTAATATGGTGCAGGGGCATTGCATGGGTGAGACACAAAGAGACAGGATGCAGACAAAACTTACCTTTTTATCAGGAGCCCACTTTCTCAATAACTAACTCACTCATGAGAGATACAGATTAATCACCTCTTAAATGTCCCACCTCTTAATACTATTACAACAGCAATTAAATTCCAACGTGAGGTTCAAAGGAGTCATTCAAACCATAGCGCTAATCATTTTCAGGCCCCTTCATTTGTGAATTTGAAAACAAAAACAAAAACAAAACAGGGTTTTGAAACAGGGACTCTTATTCTGATGTTGAAAGTCTTGGCTCTAGGAAAGAGAATAAGGAAAGAAGGTCTGTCTACAACTTCCATAGTCTTGATACTTCTCTCTAGTTTTAGTTATTAAATTAAATTAATTTATTTAGTGTGTGAAACAGGGTCTCACTCTGCCACCCAAGTGGGGAGTGCAGTGGCATGATCATGGCTCACTGCAGCCTTGACCTTCCTGGGCTCAACTGATTCTCCCACCTCGGCCTCATGAGTAGCTGGAACTACAGAGCACAACACCACACTCAGCTAGTTTTTTTGTATTTTTTGTAGAGATGGGGTTTTGCCACATTGCCTAGGTTGGTCTCAAACTCCTGAACTCAAGCCATCTGCCTGCCTTGTCCTCTCAAAGTGTTGGGATTACAGGTGTGAGCCGCCGCAGCCGGCCACTAATATTTTCTCTTAGTTTTAAAATACAAAGAAAGAAAAATGCATGACAATAATAGCACAAAGGCTTAGGTGAAGTGTGAGAGAAATGAAAAGATATTATTCTAAGGTTCTGATACTACAGGTGAAGTGGCATAACGTTTCTCAAATATAGACTGTAAGTTAACCATGTATAGTATAAATACTAAGTAAACTACTAAAACTCAAGGAGTTATAGCTAGCAAGTCCTCACAAGAGATAATTTGGAAACATAAAAATAGTCAATCAACCCCGAAGTAGGCAGATTACTTATTAGATGCAACTCCAAAACCATGATCCACAGGAGGCAAAATTGATAAAATGGGCTTCATTAAAATTGAGAATCTCTGGCCTTTGAAATATACCATTAAAAGAAGGAAAATACAAGTCAAAATATACCATTAAAAGAAGGAAAATACAAACTGGAAAAAGATACTGCAAATCAGCTATCTCATAAGGGACTCACATCCAAAATATGTAAAGAATTAGCACAACTCATAATAATAAAATAATCTAATTTTAAAATGTACAAAATATTTGAACAGACACCTCATCAAAGAAAATACCCATGCATTTACTGTCAGTTGATTTTTGACAAAAGGATCAAGAACACGCAAGGGGACAAGAACAGCCTCTTCAATAAACTGTTCAGGAAAAACTGGATCTCCACAGGCAGAAAAATAAAATTGGATCCTTATTTCATACCATATGTGGAAATTAACTGAAAATGCATTAAGACTTGAATGTAAGACCTGGAGCTGTGAAACGACTGGAAGAAACCACAGGAGAATAGCTCCACAACATTAGTCTGACCTGTGATTTTTGGATATCATGCCTAAAGCATGGACAACAAAGGAGAATAATAGACAAATAGGATTGTATCAACCTTAAAAGCTTCTGCACAGCAAAGAAAACAACAAAGCAAAGAGACAACCCACAGTGTGGGGCACGAGGGCCCAGGCCTGTAATCCCAGCACTTTGGGAGGCTGAGGCAGCAGAATTGTTTGAACCTGGGAGGCAGAGGTTGCAGTGAGCCAAGCTTGTGCCACTGCACTGCAGCCTGGGAAACAGAGCAAGGCTCCATCTCGAAAAAAAAAAAAAAAAGAGAAAGAGAGACAACCCGCATAGTAGGAGAAAATATTTGCACAACATACGTCTGATAAGGGGCTAATATCCAAAATATATAAGCTACTCATGCAACTCAATAGCAAGAACACAAATATCTGTATTTAAAAATTAACAAAGAATTTGAATAGACATTTTTCAAAAGAAGAGATACAAATGGCCAACAGGTACCTGAAAAATGCTTACCATCACTAATCATCAGAGAAATGCAAATCAGCACCATACTGAGCTGTCATTACAGATCCGTTAGAATGGCTATTAGCAAAAAGACAAAGGATATGGAGAAAGGGGAACCCTTGTACAATGCTGATGGGAATGGAAATTAGCACAGCCATATGGTAAACAGTGTGGAGGTTCCTCAAAAAATTAAAAATAGAATTATTATATAACCCCACTACTGCATATATATTCAATGGAAATGAATCCAATATGTTGAAGAAATAGCTGCACTCCTGCTTTTATTGCCGCATTAGTCACAATGGCAAAGACGTGGAATCAACCTAAGTTGATTAACAGATGAATGAAGAAAGTTACGCATACACATACGCACAGCACACACACACACAATGGAATATTATTCAGCCACAGAAAAATAAAATCCTGTGACTGCAACAACATGGATGAATCTGGAGGACATCATCCAAAGTGAAATAAGCCAGGCACAGAAAGAAAAATTACCACACGGTCTCACTCATATGTGGCACCTAAAAAGAGTTGATCTCATTAAACTAAAGAGTAGAATGGTAGTTCTCAGGCACTGGCCATGGGAGAGGGAGGACCGGGGAAATATTGGTCAAAGGATACAAAATTTCGGCTAGACAAGAGATCTATTGTACAATACGGTGACTATAGTTAATAACCACATATTATATGCTTAGATGGGGCCCAGTGGCTCAGGCCTGCAATCCCAGCACTTTGGGAGGCCAAAGTGGGCAGATCTCCTGAAGTCTGGAATTGAAGAACAGCCTGGCGAAGATGGTGAAACTCTGTCTCTACAAATATAAAAATCACAAAATACAAAAATTAGCTGGGCATGGTGGCGGGCACCTGTAATCCCAGCTACTCAGGAGGCTGAGGCAGGAGAATCACTTGAACGCAGGATGGAGGTTGCAAAGAGCTGAAATGGTGCCACTGCACTCCAGCTTGCGACAGAGTGAGACTCTGTCTCAAAAAAATAAATAAAATAAAATAAAATAAAAACGATATATTATTGAAAAATGCCGAGAGGCAATTTTAAGTTTTCTCACTACAAAAATAACTTGATGAGGTAATGCATATGTTAATTAGCTAGATTTAGTCCTTTCTCACCATATATATATATATTTTAAACGTCACATTATATACAATACATACAATTTTATCTATCAAAATAAATTAGATTGTATACTTTAAATATGTACAGCTTATTTTACTTGAGTTAGACTTTAGGTTTTTAAAAATAAAAAGTAAAATCTGCTGTCGAACCTCAAAAAAACAAGAAAAGACAATACATGGATGGCAAATAAGCATGTGAAAGGATACTCAGTATCATTAGTCATTAGTGAAATGCAAGTTCACCTCGCAATGAGATACCACTACACTTACTAATATGGGTAAAAGGTAAAAGACTGACCATTCCACATGTCAGTAAGGCCGTGGAGCAATCAGAACTCATGTAATGCCCATGGGAATGGTGAGACAGTACAATCGCTTTGGAAAATAGTTTGGCCATTTCTTAAAAAAATAAGCCTCCATGGAACACACAACTTAGCCGTCCCAGTCCAGATTACTTACCCAGGAGAAATGAAAGCATATGCCCATACAAAGACTTAGTCACAAATATTCATAACAACTTTAGTTGTAATAGCTATAAATGAGCAAACAAATTGGGATACATCCCTACAGTGGAACGCTATTCAGCAATGCAAAAGAATGAACTATTGATGCATGCAACAACATAGATGGATCTCAGAATAATTATTCTGAATAAAAGAAGTCAGACAAAAAAGACGACATACTCTATGATTGGATTTATATTAAATTCTGGAAAATACATATTAATCTATAGTGCCGAAAAACAGATCATGATGGCCTGGAGTCTGAGCCTAGGTGGGAGGTGTGGTAATGAGAGATTACAGAGGGGTGCATGAAAAGTTTTGGAGGTGATGAATATGTTCATTATCTTGGTTGTGTTAGTTTCATAGGTGTATATGCATATATCAAAATCCATCAAATTGTACACTTTTTATGTCAGCGATACCTCCATAAAGCTGTAAGACACATTCATGGCATTAAAAGGTAGATGAATACAATTTATTTTTATAATATATAAACTAAATTTTAATTCCATATATACCTATATATGATTTTGCTGTTTTCATGATTGGTTTTTGGCATCAGACAGAAAAAGTGTTTCCTATTTGTGCCATTGTGTTCTCAATAAATACATAATGGCTTGACCCTCAGTGTGGGAGTGATACACAGTAGATCCTCCATGTTTGTTTATTCCATGGAAATAATTGTCATCATTTATGAGAAATACATAATAAATACATGTAAAAATCATTTAAAAATCTTTGGCATCAATTTCTCAGTTGAGGTTCAAAAAGGCTGGAATACA